GTCTCAGCTCATGTCATTTACTCAACAACGACACATGAATTAACCCGATGAGAAATTCGAACTTGATCGTTAATGGTTTTCCGTGCTTTCGAAGCTGCACTTGAATGTGCAGAATCCGGTCGTCTGAGAAAAAGGGGTGTCTCAAAAGTATTCACATTTTCCGATTATTTCCATTTTACAATGACGAGTAGACACTCTTATCACTAACTGCAAAAAAACTTTACATACAGTACATAAAGTACTGTAGTTAAACTTCCGTCTGTTTATAGTTTACATATTTGTATGGCAAAAAATCGCGAAGTACAATATTAACACGGGTTATTGATTTAATGCCTGATAAATTGTGGGAAAAAATTCGCGCTAGATTTGTGTGTGTGTGTGTGCGAGTTCTCAGACAAGTACAGTATTTCAGACCTTTCTGACTTGTAAAATACTACAGTACAATACTGTACGCTGTTTTAAAAACCAATTTGCATGTCTTTTTGCGTTTTTCCTCTTAAGGTCTGAACAACATAAAGAAATGAAGGTTTTTCCATAGTACGATGAAAGTAAAACTTTTCTGCATTAAAACTCGATTCAACTCGAATTCCTGAAAAATAAAACCCAGCAGAATAAATTGAGATGAACATTAAAAATAAGTATTCTCCAAATTTTGTCGATAATACCGATGATAAACTTCTTGTCGAAAAAAACCGGAAATTGATTCAATTTAGTTTTTTGTTATCACATATCGTGATTCTTTATTGTTACTGTTCAAATATGAGCACGCAGAAGCAGATCCAGTCTATTCTACAAAGAATGAATTATTTTTCCTATTCGTCAACTAGTATCGTGTCAACAGATGCATATGAAGGACACATTGATAGAATTCCCACCCGCATACAAAAATTCTCAACTTCGAAAATTGGCGGAATTTCCAGCGAGTCGCGAAACAGGAAACTTTTCAGAAGACTCGCAAACTCAATCCCCCCTTCCCAAAAGACTCTTCTCCCCTCGCGAGAAATCGAAGTCCCCCGAGATTTCACGACCAGAAGGCCAACTTTCACGAGAGGACAAAAAAATTGATAGAAAGAAGAAGAAGAAAAACAAAAAAGAAAGCAACAGCAGCAGCACAAATAAGGGAAGCAAGCAAACCGTTCTCTGGAGATCCAAGTCCGCCTTGTTGCCAACCATCAACATGGGGAACTCGTCGCGGTCCTTGACTCTCAGGATTTGCCGGTGGAACTTGTAAATCTCCTCAAGGCTGTGCCGATCAGTCACCGAAAAAACCAGAAGGAACCCTTCCCCGGATCGCATGTACTGCTCTCGCATTGCGCTGAATTCTTCCTGTCCCGCAGTGTCCAGTACTGCGAGGCACAAAAAAATAAGAAGATGCATTCAGACACATTTTAACAATCTTTCGTTTCAGCCATATGAGGGGTGTCTCAAAAGTTCTCGGGATAACAATTGAAACTGCGTACGATTGAGACTAGAAAATCGTTTTTCTGAAAATAAAATTCTGGCACACAAAAACGCAGCCCCGTTTGACATTTTTTTCTCCAGAAATTGTTCTGCTCTTCACTCTAAAGATGAGGCAACCATTTTGCAGATTTTTTTCTTAATGCCCAGCTTCTCCAGAATTGTTGAAAGTATACGAGGGTCAGTACTGTATTCAAGTTTTAGAGCAGAAATGAGAATCTAAACTGTCTTCAAATTTCTCCTCTATACCCAACTTAGTTTCACTTTCTATGATTGAAAAAGGGAGGAAATCGTTGGAAACTTACGTATATAGTACTTAGAGATCAACTCATTCCCTACTTTTAGAAGGACTGTAAAAAATGCGTCTTTCGCAATATATTCCTTCAAATATTTTATTTAATTGAATCAAAAGTAAACTTAGTACGTATAGTAGGAATTATTTAAAATCGATTTGCATTCAGTTTCTCCAAAACAAAAGCAGAACAGAGAATAGAAACATTAGTACTGTACTCCTTTAAAAATTATCTTCAAAAGTGATTCCAACTTTTAAAAAGTAAGCAAAGTCTTGGATTTATTTTCAAAAATAAACCACTCATACGTATTTTCTCTCTTAAATTACAGACCTCCTGCACGAAAAGCTTGAATTCTGCCCCTCGTCGACATCATCAGCAACTTATTTTTGGTACTTCGAGGTCCCTGGAAACGAGTGTTACGAAAATGGATGGAAACACCTGTGGGATCTGTTTTTGGCTCGGAGAAAACCACCTTCAGTACTGCATCCCGTCTACTTTACCGTGCTTACTTGTAAATGAGACAGGTACAGTAATAATAAAACAAGGAATGAAAACAGATTTTTCCACGACAAGGTCAGCGAAGAAGTTCGACTTTTATTTTTGAAAAAAGCCCTCTTTTGAAAGGTTGTTCGATCTTCAGTCACCAGGGAGTTGGAATTTATCTTCAGACCAATTTTATTTTCAGAACACGAGTTTTCACATTCAAGGATATGAAAATGTGTATTCTAATACTGGAGGATTTTTCCATGACTGATTTACTTTTTTCGTAAAACACTGTACAATACGTATATCTGCGGTATTCTCAAAATCTATAATTGATGCATCTTTTGATAAGTTTAGCAAAAAATTTTCATCAAAATTGATCTTCAACAGCTTGAATAATACGCTGAAATCATTGTTCTCTTTAAATGGCTCGAGAAAATATTGACAACTACACATATTAAGTAATAAACTTTTAATACGGTTCCTTTAAAAATTATCTTCAAAAGTGATTCCAACTTTTAAAAAGTAAGCAAAGTCTTGGATTTATTTTCAAAAATAAACCACTCATACGTATTTTCTCTCTTAAATTACAGACCTCCTGCACGAAAAGCTTGAATTCTGCCCCTCGTCGACATCATCAGCAACTTATTTTGGTACTTCGAGGTCCCTGGAAACGAGTGTTACGAAAATGGATGGAAACACCTGTGGGATCTGTTTTTGGCTCGGAGAAAACCACCTTCAGTACTGCACCCCGTCTACTTTACCGTGCTTACTTGTAAATTAGACAGGAACAGTAATAATAAAACAAGGAATGAAAACCGATTTTTCCACCTCAAGGTCAGCGAAGAAGTTTGACTTTTCTTTTTGAAAAAAGCCCTCTTTTGAAAGGTTGTTCGATCTTCAGTCACCAGGGAGTTGGAATTTATCTTCAGACCAAACTTATTTTCAGATCAGAGTTTACACGTTCAAGGATATGAAAATGTGTATTGAAATACTGGAGGATATTTCCATGACTGATTTACTTTTTTCGGAAAACACTGTGCAATACGTATCTGCGGTATTCTCAAAATCAATAATTGATGCATCTTTTGATAAGTCATCGTTTTTTAAAAGTAGTTTTAACTAGAAGTTGTCGAACTTATTATGCGACTTTAGTAACAAGAGAAATTTACCGAGCTCTTTTATAACTGTTGATGTGTATAATTCATTATTTGAAAATTATGCCGCTTTAGGTAACTGCTATAATAACTTATATGTGCAGGTATGAGCCAAACAAATTACCCACGCTGTATTTTGGCCCTTTCCTATGCCGAAAGCATTTGATTTATGAATGCCATTCACAACGTCAACACTCAACAGAACAACCACTCAACGTTTCCGTTTTTTCTGTCAAAATAGCAAACTCAGGAAACTTCAGCTAGACAGAAATGGGCACGAGTAATGAACTTTCAGCACATTTTTCTTGCTTCACGTGACAGGGCCGAAATGTGCGGAGTGAAGAGCGACAGAAGGCAATAAAGTTGAAGTAAAGCACATGGAATTCTTGCGTTTGAACCCAGGTAATTCGTATACGACAACGTGTTTTAAATTAGAACTAAAATCATTTCACCGTTTCCGTCAACTACCTTTGGTGTGCTGGAGGCGGACCCTGTAATAGCCTAGGAGGTGTTCTGGAACCATGATAGTTTAGACTAGTTGAGTTTCAACTCAACTTCAAACGCATTTCCTCGACGTGGGCGTAAATTTCATAGAATACTTTTTACAAAGTGAATTTGTGATGCTAAGGAAATGCATGAATCAGAAGTTAAGTACTTTGCTGTACTGGAATATCCAACGAAACTGTTTCAGAAGATGTTAGTCTGTGGTCAAAATCCAAATAAGGGTTTTAATGATCAGATTTTTCCGAGAAAACCAGCGATGCAGCAGAAAAAAATATTGCAAATTACTCACTGTCCAGTTTGGCCACTTGATCGTCAATGACACACTGTTTCGTGTATGAATCCTCAATTGTCGGATCATAGTCGGTCACGAAGTAGCTCTGAAAATCACGAAAAATACACGAACAATCAGTTTTTGAAGTACTGTATAATGTAAATTTCTTTCCGGTTGGTGAGATCTCTTGAATTTTTAAGGATGTCGCGATTCGTTGAAAAAAAAAGGATTGCACATCCGCCCAGAAACATTCCCCGAAGAATTTGACAAATTAAGCTTTATTCTACACATGAAAAATAGTAATCTTGAATAGTCAATGAGATTTATTTCCAGTTTCAGATGGAATTGAAAGGTTTTTTGAAGGAGAAAAAAGGCGCCAAGTTCGGATACATTTTCTCCGACATTTTCCAAGAGAAACTCAACCGTTGAAAGGAATTTTCCAAATTTTGCGTCCGAAAGGAAAATTGAAATCCAGTCACGTCATCGGCTCAAAAACAACTCTCACTTCGCCAAAGAATATTATTTGAAGCTTAATTTTTCCTCACTTCCATAACAAAGCACAAGGTCAAGCCCTGAGCGACAGAAGCAGTACAATAATAGCATTCGCACGTATCTCAGCAGCATATACAAAAAAAAACACAAAAAAGATAATTAAGGTCGGGGTCTCTCCTACCATGGAGACAAAAGGGAAATGAAGGGCAGGGAACAAAACAGTTTACTCTTCCCAGTTTGGGGTAGCCCTTAATTGCACCCTGACGTCAATGGCAATGCACACTTCTCCTCACACTGTTCCTCATTTGCGACACAATGTGTCCCTCTGGAAGTTCTGCCAAGAGTTTTGCTTAGGGGGACACCCACATATGAGTTCCCCGTGGTCGTAATCAATCGATAAACGACAACGGAATCGTTCTCGATAAAAACCAACACCTGCTTTTGCGAACGAAAAAAAAATTGAACTCGTTCCTGGTTTTCGTGTTATGCAAGCCGACGAAATTGGACAGCTTTTAAAAGTCGTAAACCGTATATCGCCTTGACGGGTTCAGTCATAACGTTTGAAAGCAGTTCGAAAATGGCATTATGCATTTCTCTTTACCTTTATGCTTGATGTGATGGTTTTAGCAGCATTCACGTGACCAGCATGCGTATATAGAAAAGACGGGTTGCATAATTTCGGACAGAAAATGGCATTGTGATTAGACGCAAGGGCATTGGGATTTTTTTTTTGGCATGCTGCATGAAATTCGCAGGAGATTTCTGAAGAAGATGCTGAAATCTCACTGTTTGCAAGTACAATATTTCAAAGACGCGTGAAACAAGGACAAACTTGGTAATACCTATTCTCAATCTTCGGAATAAAACGCAAGGATGTAACGAAAACTATAAAATTGGGCATACATATTTTTTGACATTTTTTCCGAGTGTTATAAGTACAGTAAAGTACTGTAAAACCATTCAAGAACTACCAAGACTTAAAATTAGATTGAATTTATTTTTTCTGGTTCACCGTGTATGTCATGGAATTCCATGGATGAGCTGATTGCGTGTCCGAAGCGAAGTTCACTTTTAAGCCATTTTTTGAAGGAGAAAAGTAGGATCGCAGATCTTCTTGGCACTTCAAAGGAATATTTTCGGGCAATTTTCCGCTTCCGACACTTCCATATTTTTTCATAGCCCTCGAATTCTTAGTTTGATCTTTCCTTTGAAAATGAAAGAGCCCCTAATGCTCTGAAAATTCTAGCTGATGCTAAACTTGTTGATAATGCACATTTTTTTTCTCCGGCGCGACTTCCCCGAAAAAATGCAAAAATTGGGAGACTTGCATCTCTCGAACTTGGGAATTCTTGTCTCCGACAAGTTCCTGGGAAAGAACGTCCATCAGAAAGCCGTAAACGATTTTTTTTTTAAGTCAGGAAAAAGGTGAATGGAGTACATTTTTATCATCATGTAATTCTTAGGGTTCCTGGCAAAATTTGGAGAATGAAGTATAATCTGAATTTCAACCCCAGTGAGACGACTTTTTGCACTCGTACTCACGATTTAACCCGGTTTCATATGATTTTCCAGAATTCATTTTGAGTAATGAAAAGTTGAACATGAAGAAGGACAACACTCGCATACGATCCCGATTAGAAGGATTAATACCCAACCTTTGCCTAGAGATTCTTCTTGGAGTTGACAGGAATGATTTTTTCAAACTGAAATCCTTAATATTTGTCTATCTAATTTCTGGATGGACTGACTAAACGAGCCCTGTCAAAAATTTTCAACTTTTTCTGAAGGTCAAAAAAAAATCACAGGGAATTCGCTCCGTGAATTTTTTTCAGAAATGAAAAAGGGGAGAAGTATTGAACAGCACTGATTGATCTCTTTTCTGTAAAAAAAAATGCATTCTTTTAATTTTTTCCAAAATAACGGAAAACTAATATCAGTTATTCGAATGTGGTTACGAATTTTTTTTCGTTTTTTGAAAATATCTAAAAAAAAAAGCACAGCCTTATTATTGGAATTTTAGAAAAGGTGTTGAAACTTGAAAGGTGAGTAATTCTGAGCATAAAGGTAAAATGCTGTTTGTGCATTATCTACAAGTTGAAATTAAAATTCAGACTGATCGAGATAAAAAGAGACAGAATTCGAGCGTCTTCAAGCTTCACGAACTTTTCGTAGATGGCGTTCGTCGATTCGACATCATCAAACTGCTTTCCCCCGGGGTTTCTCTCCCCCCCCCCCCCTCCTTTTGTTTTTCGCCAGTGGGAGGAAAAGATGAGTATCGAGTGTCGTGTCGAACAAGGCCGTCGACGACGTCAGGCAGAGATCGACGACCTCGTCGCGCAACCGCGACGGCTATTCCGACACCAGCTCCCAAGAAACCCGAGCCCCGACCCGTATTCCACACTTCGTCCGACCTGACGAGCCAACTAACCCTCTGCATTCATTTTTGTGGTTCTTTTTTTCTTTTTATTTGTTTTCTATATACCGAAGAAGCCTACCGGTTTCATTCGGGGAACTTCCGGGGAGGCTCGGAAAAAGGTTCCGCGTCGGATTCTCGGCTGCATTGATGCTCGCATAACAAGGATAGACGCAAGATGTCTGAATTAGCAGAAGGTTTCTTCGACTGTTTTCCATTCTAAAGAAAATAATAAAGATAATTCCCTAGGAAATTTCGAGAAGAATTATTTAAACAGCAGTTCAAACCATTTATTTCCATGCTTGATTTCAGATAAGCCTGATCGAAAAAAAGTGCTCAATTCCCTGCGGAACCGAAGCTCATAATTTTTTCGAAAGGTTACTAAAATCTTGATTTCCAAAAACAATCGAAAAAGTAACTCGAATTATTTTTTTACGTCGGCGTTTCGAAGATCAATTTTTTTTAGTGATATTGATTCCCAGGATAGATAACGATGTAGAATTCCTGTGCACATTTCCTTCAAACGAATGAGAAACTACTGCATTTGAATTTAATTAATCAATGCGACAGTTCAATGCGAATTTGATCAAGGTGACAGTTCTTCTTCTGATCATTAGCTTGAAATTCACTTTACGAGGCCTCCTCAGGAAAACATTCGACGCATGTTCGAATTTTAAAATTATTTTTTTATATCAAAGTCAAGTAACGTCGGAAGTATCAAATGTTTCTTGTCAATCAGAGAACGAACTTCACTATTTTTATGCACCCGGTAAAAAAAAAAAATGCTCGAAACGGAATCTTTCTACACTAGAAAAATCAGTACTTGTTGCTCAAATTACGATGCACGTTCCATGCGTGTTCCTGCAAATGCTTCGGGTACCTTTTTTTTTCTTCAGAATATTTTTCGATTCATGGTACAGTACTGTATTTAAAACTTCAGTCTAGCATTTGGAGGGATTTAAGCAACGACTATAGAAAGTATTTTTGCAGAGTCTGCACAGTGAATTAACAAGGACCAGTTCAATCATCCATACATGATAATTTTGGTGGGGAAAATTGTGAAATTTGCAACCATCAATTCACCTTTATTTGCACTACGTCGTCAAGTGGATGCCAGCGGCAACTTGCTTGCCATGTTTCAGAACACATTGTTATTATGGTAATTTAGTCAATTCATGTTATCTCAATTTTTAAACCTTTCACGTTCTCACTTCTAATCGGTATTTTTCGGACATTCATGAGATATTCTGAAATATGAATGGTTCACGTGCTTCATTTGCTCTCGTTTCGGGGATCTTTTCTTTTATTCGCCAAAAAGATTGTGCTGCTCTTTTGTCGTTCATTGATTTGGTTAATTTTATTTTACTCCACAAAACGCCGGCGGATCATTTGATTTGATTGATTAATTCGGAGAACTTCATGCATTTACTCTTGACTGTCAATTTATTTTTCAAGTTTTCAAGCAGATTGCTACCTTTTTTCATTCGAAAAAAAAATTGCCCTTACGAGCGAAAAGTTTGCGGAAATGTTTAGGTATATTTTCGCTATTCACCTGATCCGTTGGATGCACAGAGAAATTGTTAAAAACCAACCAAGCAAACCCATAATTTTTTTTCGTTTACTGTTTGAGTGCAGTAATTTTATATTCGGATTAAAAAATAAAATAAAAGATGATGCGGAATGCCCGGAGCGAGAGGAATACTGAGCAGCATTCCGAATCCCTTCGCGGAATTAAATTAGCAACCCTTCCGAAAAAGCTGGGTCGCAAAAAAAAAAAAAAAAAAAAAGAGGAGGTTGCGCATCGAGTCTCAGAAAATCGATGCTGTTTTTTTTTGTTTCAAAGAAAAAATGGAGCGAATCTCGAAAGATTTCAGGCAAATTCCCGGGAAAAATGTCGATCCATCAATCGACACATACGCTGACGCGCGCGGAGGAATCAGTCTCCCATTCCGCCGAGACCTGTCGTTGGGAGCGCTGTCGGAATTCCCTGACAACTCTCGTCGTCGACGTCGACGTCGTTTCTCCATCCCCGGTTTACGTCGTTGTCGAGATGGATGCTTCCCGGCGGCGATTAATTTTGCTGGCAACCAACGCGCCGAATGACGACTCACGCACCCGCGGTTCCTCCACAACTCCATGACAGACATATTTCTGCGTTTCAAGCTTTTTTCAGCCGCATGCGAAAAGTATGTTTTTTTCTGAAATTTTTAATACATGGTCTATTGGAATTTTTAAAACAGTCGGCTGTTTGCAACATAAACTCCGATTAACCCCGCCAAACTTTTGGCTCATTCTTGGGAGAAAGCAAAACGGATGCTATAATTTAATTCGAGCAACTCTTGTTTTCTTTTGTGTGTCGAATTAATTCACGAAATTATTAAACGAACGTATTTTTCTAATTTTCTAATCTTATGAATAAAAATTTCAAGCAAAAAAATATAATAATCATATCAAGGGACAGGGAACCGCATAAACTTGAAATCGGTGGTCATTCACCTCTCGTGATTGTCGCGAATTTTTTAGTTCTATTTTTAGAAAACAAGATTGAGAACCCGAATTCTCGTCCTTGAGGACAAATTCCACTTTCTGTGAGAACCTTGGAAAACCTCGGTTCTCACATAACTTACGGAAGCCTCCAAGGCTGCCTTTCTCTGCTAATCCTATTTGCTAAATCTTGCCCTTGTAGGACAGTTTTCCTGTTTCCAAAAATCATAATGATCTACACAGTCCAGTTTCTGCTTTCGAGTGTGCGGTTACTCCAAGATTTCGCGAGCAATTTTCATCGAGTGTCATTTTGAGTCCTACGAATATATCAACTTTATAATAGGGTGTTCTCACCCCGGTCGCAGCCCGACCAAATTCCTGAGTTTTATTCAAAAACTTCCATCCTAAATCTCTCTTCTAAAAAGTTCCACAACTAAACTCATCATTTGTTGGGTTTATTCCTGACAGTGATTTCGACCCATTGAAAGCAAGTCAATTTCAAAAGTTGAATGTTCAACTTTGAAATAACAGTAGCTCCCGAAAAAAATACAGAGGGAATTGGAAAGAAAGTAAGATCAATCAAGCAAGCAATATAACAATTAGAGTGTCATACAAAAAAATTCTAGCCATGAGAAATACGCAGTCACATGCTGTTCGAAAGTTGCATTTTAGCCTTTCGTTTATTTTTCATAAGCATTTTTTAAGCATTACAATTATTTATTGAGACCCAAAAAATTCGAATGGTTGAATAAACTCATGCATCAACATTTTTCGAGCGAATTTAAAACAATATATGGATGAAACGCAGATCTTCTTTGAGTCGAATATCGAAAGAGAAAAAGTCACGTGAATGCCAACGATGCATTCGGGGCAGCATTTTTTTATATCACCTGGCCCACTCGACCCTCTCGTTAGCTCGGCGAAAAGACACCCCGGAATCCCTCAATTTTAATAGAACAAAAACCCCGCACCCTAGCGACATTTTGTCATGGCGTGAATTTAAGGCGACCCCCTCTCTTCTCTCGGCGGGAAAATATCGCGTGAACTCAAAACCCGGCCCCCAACGGTTCCTCTACAGTCACTCGTTTGCATCTGCTTCTGGAACGTCTTCCCCGACGCGACGCTGTCTAATTCACACCTGCCACGTTTTCACTTTCCATCTCTTCAGCGAAATTCGAGGAGAAAACAAAATTTCTAGAAAGTAGGAAAATAAAATGCAGGAAGAACTCGTCGCAACTGACGGCAGAAGTCGGAACATATCAGTGCAAGCAAAGAGAGAGCCCACGTATAATGTGCCTAAGTTCTCTCTCTCTCTCTCTTACTTCCTGTTGTCTGTCGTTGAGCAAAAACACGGATTGACGAAGTTGTTCAGAACAGACTCGAAAACAACGACGTCGATGCTTATTCCGCAAAGTGTCGAAGTGATGATCGTATTTTCGCACTAAAAAAAAATTTAAAACCACACTAAAGAGAAAGAATAACTCGGGCAGCAAACTTTTTCACGCAAAAAAAAAAAAGAAGTCAGCGATATTTCGAGCAGAATCGCAGAGCTGTTGAGGGAAATAATTTAAAGCCCTCAAGAAACTCTGTAAAAGAAGCAAGAGAGAGAGGAAAACATACGCTGTGTATGAAAAACTGTCGACCGTCGACTTTTTTCTTCCGCTTTGGAAACCAGCCAAAGAATTTTATTCCTCGACGCGTGCGTTGATTTCGTTATCGACACTTTCGTCAGCAAAACGCCACCGGTCCTGCTTATTTTCTGTGACTTTGTCTTTTAGAGCTCGAAAACTGAAATGTTTTCTCTATTATTTTTTTTCATTTTCTGGATTTTTAAAGGAAACGTTGTTCCATTTGATGAGAATGGCTAGAAAATCTATAGGCTGTCCAACAATAAGTTATCTGAAGTTCTAAAGTCCGCATTTCGCTATACTTCACATTTTGCAAGGAATGCAGACTGAAGTACTGTACTTCGAAATTGACGGTGATATTCTTCTATTAGGTAAAAACTAATGTCGTTTATTTTTTAATGAAAATTCCCGAGGAACACAAAATTAAAGGGAGCACTTTTCGCATGAGTGTCATCAACCCACTCGTGAAAAAAAAGCTTTTCGGCAAAAACTTCTGTGTCACTTTTGCGATGTCCATCGGAAAATGACGTCCCTTATTCGAGATGACTTTACATTTTTTTTCTTCAGAAAATCAGCTAAACGAATGCACCTGGAAAAAACATTTAACGAATGGCCCTCTCTTTCAAACCTTCGACTCAGATCATTTTTCAAGAGGTGCACTACCGCTTGAAGAGCCATCGTCAAGTCAATCTTCATGAGCTACAGCATGATTGAAATGGTACCCGACAAGAAAAAAATGCAAAAATACATTTGTAAAACCTTAGACAAGAGCATCACATGTATTTAATGCCAGTTTTGAAGCGCGTCTTGACAATTTTTCACCGCCCTCGGATAATAAAGATGCATCTTGAATTCATTGTGAGTGGTTTCTAGCTATACAGTATTTTGAATTTAAATTATCCCACGACGAAAGGCGACTCAATAAAATAAGAAGAGGGACTGACCTCGTCTTGGAATTGCAACAAGCCCAACACAGGAAGTAAATCTTGCAAAGCTCTTCATTCAAATGCATAACATGTTCGGGCATCTTCGTAGGAGTAAAATCCTCCTTAACGACTCTCGGAATAAACTTTCTTTCCATGGCGGCGCGTATAAGTCATTGAACAACGACGATGGAACAGTTACAAACGCAAGAAACGAGGTCACGAGCAGAGAAGAAAAAACATCAACTTTGTATTTCGTGAAGTAGGCAGTTCAGTAGTTGCGAAACACGGATACAGTAATCACATACACACTCATCTGAATACCCGGCTCTCGCTATAAAATCACTGTTATCAAATGAAGAAAATTATCTACTTCATCCTCGCGGCAAAGAATTCTTCGATGCGTATCAATTCCACGGGACTTTTTTGCAATGCATCAATTACATTCTTGAATAGTGGTTTCTCGTCGTCACGGGGGTTTGAGCAACTCTCTTGAGCAATGTGTCAAATCAAAGCTCAGTCGACTGAAACTGCGAGCAATTATAATTTTCGTGGCCCTCGCAAGATCAAAGCAATCATTTTGCTACTTCATGATGAAATACAAGTGATTTCACGCATTTACGCTTCTTTTTTTCCCCCAAGTATGTGGATTTCAGAAACTCCAGTTTAATCAAAATTGTCAAAACGCCGTTCGAGTTTTTCAAGAACATCGAAAGGTTTTTTTTTTTTGCGTCTCGATAGCAAAATGTTTAAAATGTTTACAAATTCAACTAGAATCACGAAGCGAGGACTGAAAGCTGTTTTTGAAGATCATAGATGCCATATAATAGACATTTTAAAATGAAACCCAACTGAATTAAAACGAAATGTGCACTTTTCCAATGCATGTAATGTTCTGTACTAACAAACTAACTGACAACAGAAAAATACGACAGTATAAAAGAAGTCATCGGCTAACAAAAATTATTTTGGGAAATTTTCGTCCAAATTTTTCTTGAAGACATACAAATTCGACCAGAAAAGACATTTTTTCTTTTAAATTTTGGATGTACTGTACTGAACATGTTCTTCAAATTTTGGTTTCACTTTAGATGATTGTTCCAAACATTGAGGATGTGAAACTGTTCGGAAATTCGTCTATTCTCCATCTTATGTCTTTTATTTTAGCATGCACTGTATTCTTTCCGTTTGTTCCAGTTGAATGTCTTCCAAAAGAAAAAATAAAAGATTTCATTACATCTGTAATAACCGTATCATGACGCACAACATTTTGTATAAGCGGCCATTATTCGTTCACAAGGCGAAAGTAGATGCAAAAAATAAGCCCTCTTGTTCAGCAAAGCATGTAATGTATGCCAAAATTATCCCACCTATACGCCACATTCGATCCTTTCTAATAACTAATCGGCGCACAAAAATAACGCAGTTACCCGAAAAGGGGATTTACTTCTGAAAAACCCCCATTTCCTCGGAAAATGAAAAATATCAACGCGATTTCATGACCTGAAGCGCGTAAAACCGGTCATAAACCCCAACTGCTGCCATGAAACAGCAATTCAATCGATCCCCGACTCCCGAAGAAGGAGCTCACTCGTCAAACAACAACGTTAATCGTCGTTTTCAATAGGAAAGCCATTATACTTTGTCGAGATGGGCAATTGTGCCGCCGGCGATAAACAAGAGTT